GCAATGGATAAAGCATATTCATTAAGTACTCAAATGGTCGTTAGAACTCTCAATCCTATTAAAGATCCTTTTAGACCAAAAAAGGAGAATGAGGAAGCACTTGGTCCTGAAGTACCGTATTTAAGTGCTATTGGTGCACTAATGTATCTGGCTAACAGTACTAGACTAGATATAGCATTTGCTGTAAATTTATTGGCCAAATTTAGTGTGATGCCAACACAACGACATTGGAAAAGAATCAAACATATTTTTCGTTATCTCCAAGGATCTATTGATCTTGGTCTATTATATCCAAAAGGATCTCGACATGAATTGATTGGATATGCAGATGCTGGGTATCTTTCTGACCCGCATAAAGCCAAGTCTTAGACTGACTATATGTTTACTTGTGGTGGTACAAACAGACATTAACCGCCACATCTTCAAATCATGCAGAAATAACAGCAATTCATGAGGCCAGTAGAGAGTGTGTTTGGCTAAGATTAATGATTCACCACATTTTACAGAATTGTGGTTTGAAATCTGAAAAAGATAATCCTCCTACTATTTTGTATGAAGATAATGTAGCTTGTATAGCGCAACTGAAAGAAGGATGTATCAAGGGAGATAGAACGAAACATATTTCACCAAAATATTCTTTACTCATGATCTCCAGAAAAATGGTGAAATAAATGTGCAGCAGATTCGATCATACCAAAATTTAGCATACTTGTTGACCAAGGCTTTATCGACCGCAATGTTCGAGAAATTGGTAAAGATCATCGGGATACGTCTGTTGCAAGATTTCAAATGATGTCCACATCACGGGGAGCGATATTTCAAGTGATGTCCACATCAAGGGTAGTATTTTTAATACATGAATGACGTATTTTTTTTCCTTGACTAGGATTTTTATCCCGTTGGATTTTTTCCTAGTGAGGTTTTAACGAGGCGTATTCATTGCCGTTAGTGACACCTAAAGGGGAGTGTTATGACTCATTATTTATCTATAGTAGGTGTCATTATATTATCATGACACATGTCTAATTTTGATGACTAATTGAATTGAAAATGACTTATAAATAAGCCTTGTATTTAATGGAAATGAAATGAGGAATTTACTTACACTTTGTCTTCCTCTCTCGGCTCTCTCTCTCAATCTCTCTCTCTCTCTAAATTATATACACACCTATACGTATATATGTATTTATCTAATTTATCTTTATATACATACTTATATTTATATTATATATGATATATTTTATAAGAGATAGAATTTTTACAAATAAATATAATGATTTTCTTATTTGTATCTATGCTTTCATAGAATTTTTTAAAATTCTCATGTATCATGTATATAATATTTAATTATATATTTGGAGAATTCTAAATATTTTTAGTCAAATTTTAAATTTTAAAAGTTTATTTTCAAATTTAAAAAATTTATAATAATGGTATATATAGCTTTTAAATTTAATTTCAAATAAAAAGAGTTTTGATAATTGTTGTTGACATTTTCATTTGTAAATTTAAGTGAATGTACACACTAATTTGATAAAATTATTTTATTTTATTTTTATCTTTTATTTTATTTACTCAATGTTTTTATTAATTATATTTTATATTATAATTAATTTATTATTGTTAGCATATTTTTATATATTATCTTTTGGCGCCCACATATATATCCACTCTCTTTTTAGATTAATATATAATTTCTATTTTCCGCAAATATTCAAACATGGTATCAGAGCCTATTTTTCTTTTGGGATAGATATACCTACTAATCCTCATTGTTTTCGCCACCAACGCCGGCGCGTGGCAGCTGCACGCAAATCGACGTCGTATCCCGGCGACCGCCGCCTCCTGCTTCGATCCCCGATATCCCAGTATGGTCGGTTTTGCAATCTGACTTGAATTTATTTTGCAACTGTTACTGGGTTGGCTTGCCCAGTCTGATTTTCTGCATGATTCTTTTGCGTGCTATACTATTCTTGATTTTCTCACTTCATAGTATGGCTCTTAATATGGATCGTGTAGACGCTTATGGGATTACTGTTATTCTTTCTGGTGATTATTATGATTTGTGGGCTGAATCCATGAAAAGTTTTTTAATTGGTAAAAGATTATGGCACTATGTTACTGACGACTTTTCTTCACCGATTGCTCCTATTGTCACTTCTACGGCGCCCATCAACAATAAGGATCTCACGGACTATCGGAATGCCTTGGATGAGTGGGATAGTAAGAACCACATTATTCTTACTTGGATTCGGAATACCTCTTCCAAGTCCATTCAAATTCAACTTCGCCGCATGGACACTGCCAGGAAAGCTTGGGATTATTTGCAACATCGATATCAGACCACTGAAGGCATGCATTATTATCAGCTTATAGGGTCATTGAATGCACTGATACATGACTCGCACCAAGATATGAATGAGTTCCTCTCCACTCTACAGTCTATGTAGGATCGCATTGATGAGGCCGACATAGAGATTGAGCACTTTCAGTTGATTCAGCTCTTGATGAAGCTTGGTCTAGAATATGAGTATGTGCGTGCTTCCTTACATCATTGTCATCCCTTGCCTTCCTTGGAGACAACGATGAAGTATATTTTGTTTGAGGACACCCGCCTCAAGATCCTCAAGGCTCCTACTTTTGATTCGGCCTTGGAAGTTCCCTCTTCTACTCTTCATCGCAGAGATAATTGCAAGGATGCCCAACCACCGCAGTCTGATAAATGTCACAGTTGCCCGAATGCTGATTATTTTTATATCTATTGCCCTAAGATTGAGTGTCACGACTGTCGTCAGAAAGGCCACATCCGTCCGCATTGTCCCAAGAATCCCAAGGCTGGTCAGTCCTCTTCCAGCTCTTCCTCTGCCATTGTTGTTGCCACTAGCATATCACAGTCGCCTCAACCGCCTCCCACTCTTGAGGACCTACGTCACATGCTCACTCAGGTTTTATCAATTCATCCTTCATTAGCCTCGACATCAGGTAACAACACATGGTATATTGATTCTGCCTGTTGTAACCACATGACACCTGACCCTCGCCTTTTACATTCCTCCCAACCCGTCACCTCATCCCCTCCTATACTTACGGTTGATGGCACCTCCATGCACATTACCCATACTGGTCATATATCGTCTCCCCACCTCGATGATGTTTTTGTCATTCCCAAATTAGCCCTAAACCTTGCATCTGTCAGTCAGTTGGTTGAGCAGGATTTTATTGTAATTTTTTCTTCTTCTGGTGTGCAATTTTAGGACATGCAGACGGGTCAGATACTTGGGACGGGTCGCAAGACAGACCGCCTATTTGAGCTTGACCACCTTTGCCCTCGCCAAACACCATCTCTTTTCCCTGCAGTCTCTTATTCCTCTTCCTATTACTGGCACCTCATACTTGGTCATGCCTCCCTTATCTAAACTCAAGTCTCTTATAGATACATGTGTTTTAGGCACATTTCGTTTTGAGTCTTTTGATTGCTTGCATTGTAAACTTGGAAAACGACCAGCTTTACTTTTTTTGAATAACTTATCTATTGCTGATAAACCTTTTTCGTTAGTACATTCTGACATTTGGGGGCCCTCTCCTGTTGCTACTCTTACTGGGTTTCGTTACTTTGTACTTTTTATTGATGATTACTCTTGTTTTACTTGGATTTACTTTATGCGTAAGCAGTCTGAACTTGCGTGCATTTACTCTGCATTTGCTAAAATGGTGCAAACTCAGTTCTTGTGTCCTATTCCGACTCTTCACACTGACAATGCCCTCGAATATAATGATTCTGCCTTTCTTAGTTTTCTGTCCATCTAAGGTACTCTTGTCCAGCATTCTTGTCCCTACACATCTCAACAAAATGGTACGGCAGTGCGCAAGCATCGTCATATTTTAGACACAATTCGAGCTATGCTGTTATCTGCCAGTTGTCTAGATCAATTCTGGGATGAGGTTGCTCTTACTACTATTTATAATATTAACCGCTTACCCTCCTCTGTCCTTCAGGATACCACACTTTTTTTTTTTGGAGGCTCTTCCGCCAGGTACTTGATTACTCTCATCTTCATACTTTTGGTTGTGTCAGCTTTGTTCATCTTCCTTCTTATGAACGTAACAAATTAGAACCACGCACCCGTCTATGTTGTTTTCTTGGGTATGGGATAAAACATAAAGGTTATCGATATTGAGATCCTGTGTCGAATCGTCTACGAATCTCTCGGGATGTTACTTTTTGGGAGCATAAGTTCTTTTTCTCTGAGTCTAAATTTTCCATTTCCTTTAAGTCAGAGTCCCCGTTCTTTGTTCTGGATTCCTCTCCTTCTCTTGCAGGTCTCGAACTCCCGTCCGTTCCTGTTTTGGATTCCTCTCATTCTTCTGCAGGTCCCAAACCTCCGTCCGTTTCTATTCTGGATTCCTCTCCTTCTTCTGTAGGAACCGAACACCTATCTGTTCCTCCTGGTCTGTCTGATATTGATCCTTCCCCACCAACTGACCCTTCTGCGCCTCCTGAGCCTGTGCCCGACCCTCCGGAAATTTTAGTTCCTGCCGCCACTGATTGACGACCCACCCGTGTAAGTCGTCCTCACTCTCATCTACTTGATTACCATTATTTTTCTGTCATTTTATCTCACCATGAACCCAGGACCTTTCGTGAGGCGAACTGTGATCCCTTGTGGTGCGATGCTATGTCTGAGGAATTGCAGGCTCTTGAGAAGACCGGCACGTGGGATATCGTCGATCTCCCTCCTGGCAAGAAACCTATTAGCTGCATGTGGGTGTACAAAATCAAAACTCACTTCGATGGTTCTGTTGAGCACTACAAGGTTCGCCTTATAGCCAGGGATTTTTCCCAGAAGTGTGGTATTGATTATGAGGAGACATTTTCTCCAGTTGCTCGTTTGACATCTGTCCGTTGTCTCCTTGTTGTTGCCGCTGTTCGACGTTGACAATTATTACAGTTGGATGTGAAGAATGCGTTTCTTTATTGAGATTTTTCTGAGGAAGTGTACATGACCCCTCCACCTGGCTCAGATTTTTTGGGGAAGGTATGTCAGCTGCGTCGTGCCCTTTATGAAATGAAGCAGGCGCCCCGAGCTTGGTTCGCCAAGTTTAGTACTGCGCTCCTTCAGTATGGCTTTTCTGCATCTCCCTATGACTTTGTTCTCTTTATTCGTCGTTCTCCTGCTGGGATCATCATTCTCTTGTTGTATGTTGATGACATGGTTACTACCGGTGACGATACTTCTGGTATATCTGATCTACAGACCTACCTTCATCGACACTTTGACATGAAAAATCTTGGTCAGCTCCACTATTTTCTCGGACTTGAGATTTCTGATGCTCCAGATGGCATATATCTATCTCAGGCGAAATATGCATCTGATTTCATATCTCGTTTAGGTTTGAATGATAGCCAGATTGTATCCACCCCTCTCGAGGGGAACTGCCGACTTGCTCCTTTCGACGGCACTCCACTAGAGGATCCCTCCCGCTATCGGCAGTTAGGGGGATCCCTAATATACTTGACAGTCACTCGCCCTGACATAGCTCATGCGGTTCATGTTATTGCTCAGTTCATGGCTAATCCCCGGACAGTTCTCTATGCTGCTGTGTTGAGCATCCTTCATTATGTCAAAGGAACACTCCCACACGGTCTTCATTTTTTTGCTGACTCTCCATTGGTTCTTGCAGGTTTCTCTGATGTTGATTGGGTAGGTGATCCGACTAATTGTTTCTTTATCACAGGTTATTGTTTTTTTCTTAGGAGTTCCCTTGTTTCTTGGCGCAACAAAAAACAGACTCTCGTTTCTCGCCCTAGTGTAGAGTCTGAGTATCGTGCTGTAGCGGATTCGACTTCAGAGCTCCTTTGGCTTCGTCAGCTTCTTTCTAATCTCAGGGTTCCTCAGCCTTCTTCCACTTCCCTCCATTATGACAGCACGAGTGCAATTCAGATCTCCCATAATGATGTCTTTCACGAGCGCACCAAACATATTGAGATTGATTATCACTTTGTTCGTCAGCATGTTCGTGCAAGCACTGTTCATCTATCTTATGTCTCTTCCGAGGATCAGACTGTGGATATCTTCACCAAGTATCTCTTCCTAGGCCGGTTCTCCACATTGTTGAGCAAACTCAAGTTGGTTTCTATTTTACCACCTTAAGTTTAAGGAAAGGTGTTAGCATATTTTTATATATTGTCTTTTGGGGCCCACATATATATGCCTATATATATGCACTCTCTTTTTAGATTAATATACAATTTCTATTTTTCGCAAATATTCAAACAATTATATATTAGTGTTGATGTAATTTTTCAACAAAAATAAAGTAAAATTCAAAGATATAGAAAATATCCTTAAACTTGATTAATTAGTGCCTGAGATTAGGAATCTCTAAACACTGTATGGTACAGAAAATAAATTGGAAAATAAAAGACTGAAATTTAAAGTGGTGATCCCCAAATCTGACTTTGCTTTGTTGAAGTTGATTGAAGATGCCTTGTCAAATGATTATCCAAGCCTTTAAATATTCTCTGGGAAACCGTACCGAAAACCGTCACCCGAACGGTTACAACGTCTCCTTCCCAACCGTCTTCCAACCCTTCTCATGCTGACACGCGTCCCCAGCAGACCAAAATTATCCCTATATTTCACTCTTTGAGCCGACCACAGACCTTCCGCTCTTTTGGCCCGACTGCCAATCTACAATAATATGGGTCCGACCGCCAATCCTCCCGACTTGCGAACCATCTGGCTTGAGGTCTTTCCGCCTTGAGGACTTCCCGACCTGAAAACCTTCCGACTTGAGGTCTTTCCGCCTTGAGGACTTCCCGACCTGAAAACCTTCCGACTTGAGGTCTTTCCGTCTTGAGGACTTCCCGACCTGAAAACCTTCCGACTTGAGGTCTTTCCGTCTTGAGGACCTCCCGACCTGAAAACCTTCCGACTTGAGGTCTTTCCGCCTTGAGGTCTTCCCGACCTGAAAACCTTCCGACTTGAGGTCTTTCCGTCTTGAGGACCTCCCGACCTGAAAACCTTCCGACTTGAGGTCCTTCCGTCTTGAAGACCTACCGACCTGAGGTCTTTCCGACCTGAGGTCCTTCCGTCTTGAGGACCTACCGACCTGAGGTCCTTCCGTCCTAATGACTTTCCGTCTTGAGGACCTACCGACCTGAAGACCTTCCGACCTGAGGACTTTCCTTAGTAATAAACCTATTTTCCTTGATTTCCTCATGGTACCCTTCAGTCAGTTCAATCAACTCTATTGCCAGGCCCATTCTTCTTTTACCTTGGGCTTTTAACCTAATTCTAAATTTCGTACGTAACAACTTGCCCGCCGCCAAGGGACTTTCAAACGCCATTTAACAATCAATGTTTGGAAGTTCATAAATCACCACCCTCTTGAAAAACTCCCTTAGCAACTGCACCAGTTACTGCAACACTCCTGATTAACTTCCTTCTCCGCAATACAAGCTTTTGTGAATCACAATCCCAAAACACTCTAACCATGGCGAATCAATACATTCCTGCCCTTCCCTTCGACGGAACCCTCCCGGAGGGCCCATTTTCAGCCTCGAAAGTACTGACTCCGACGATCCGTCCATATTGCACTACTCCTGAAGATTCAAATCGGATGAGGGAAGTCTTGGAATCCCGAAATCTCTTGGCTATCAACAACCCTAACTACCAAGCACTTCGCATTCGAGACAGCATCAAAACCCATCTCACGGACCCAAAAGATCCTTACCGCGCTTGGTATCGACAGGTAGCAGAACACTTCCAAACCCAATGGCGTTCCCAAAAGATCGACCAAGCAATACTACTGTCCACCATGCCTATCAACCTGCATGAGAAGGTGTTGTTGGCCATGTCTGCCTTCTGGAATGCGGAAAATGGGACTTTCCTCTTCCCATCAGGCCCCTTTGGCCCAACTCTTATGGACGTTGCAATGATCGCGCATCTCCCAGTCGTGGGTGAAGACCCTGTGATGGGAGCCCTAGATGGGCAGGAACCATCAGAAGACCATCCAGGGTGGTCTTTACAAGGGGTGAAGGAATGGGGTTGGACAAAGTTCGCAACCGACCAGCAAGGGGCTCCAGGGACCCCTGTAACCGACCGGGAGCATACTGCCTTTATCCTTTTTTGGCTTTGTAGGTATGTCATTGTTTCCCCTTCCAAAAGTGTTCTTCCTTCTCATCTCGACCTGGCCATTCATATCGCGTCAGGTCGTTTTTTCTCTCTTGGCACCCTGTTTTTAGCCAACCTGTTTGAAGGACTTACTAGAGTTAGCCTTCGTCTAACAGATAATGATAGTAGGAAATTAGACACTGCCGCGTCGGGTCCTTTTTGGTTTTTAGAACTTTGGTTCCGGCTTTACTTCCCCAACGCATTTAACTTAGGATCTCCGCCCACTATGCCAACAGCTGAAAAACATTTGGGATTAGCCCTTAACCGACTCTGCTCAGGACGCAATAAACTCCAATCTTCCGATCCAATAATAATCGCAGTTTTAACAGATACCCGCAGTAACTCTCGATTTTCTATGTATAAAAAGTATGCGGGCTATGCTCCCGACCATTTTTGGCCTTTTCCAGTACCAAATCCGCTTCCGACTCCTGAGCCTTGTCCTCATTCCACTTATTCTTTTGCCTGGGACGTTGCCCTCAAGCCCAGGTCTCTTTTTAGCAGCAAAAAACTTGATAAAAAAGGGCAAAAAACCTTTTACACTTATAATTATGAACCTCAATTCATGGCGCGCCAGTTCGGCTGTTGCCAAGGTATCCCTGGACCCGTCGCGTATCCGCATATAATTTTTCAAAGCCCTGACCGACGAGTCTTACCGAATTCAATCCCTTCTTATATCTCCCAGCTCACCACGTATATAACTTCCAATTCTTATATTCCTTTCCGCTCCAACCCTGAGACTGTAGATACTTTCAATGAATGGTGGTCGGTTGTATGGCCCCTGATTTCCCCTGATGAGGGTCGGTTGCTGAACATACTCCTTCCACCCCAAGGACTGGTTCTAGGGGCGGCTAGACATACTAGCACTCAACAACAAACAGCCGCCCCGGGGATCGGGTCTAGTGCTCCAACGCGAAAAAGGAAAGCGTCCCAGCTGCCAACACCCCCGACCTCTGGGGCCGACCAGCAAGCACCAGCGGACCTTGGAACTACGAAAACATCAGCAAGGATCCGACCCCGAATAGGTAATTTTTCTTAAAACCGTGAACCAATTCACTATATCTTAACTTTGATTTCACATATCATTCACCAGAACCGACCTTGGCAGCACCGACCACACAACCGACACCAGCCCCAGCCGATCCACCTTCGGTCCCGACTGAGGCAGTTCCTCTCCAAACCCCTACTCCACTTCTCACTTTGCCAATGAGCAGTCGGACGGAGGACCCGACGAGGAGGCAAACTCTTCCTCCCGTACCGAGGAGTGGTCGGGCCAGGCACCCGACCAGGAGGCAATCTTTACCAGTAGTGCCTAGAGAACCAGTAAGTTCCCTCATCAGCAATACTTAGGATTCTAATGATCAACCTTGATATATTTAACCAACAACAGTTCCATGATTTTTCACAGACACCTTCACCCATCGGATCAACAGCAGGGGTCTCTTCTGACAGCGAGGGAACTACTTCCCAGATGTGTCGACCGCCATACATAGCATCAGACTCATCCATGTCAAAGGAAGAACCAGCCGCCCTCGCCGAAGCTGACCCTCAAAACGACATCCCTGATGCTGCTGATCCCGAAATCGAAGGTGCCCCAGAGATCCCGGCTGCAGCGGCACTAGACGCAGCCGCCCAACCAGCAGCGGCGCTACCTCCAGCAATCGAATGGCAGGCAGAAGAACCACCTGTGGCAGCCCAACATCCAGAAATGGAAGAAGTTTCTTCATCCGATTCGGAGACTTCTGTAAATTTGGTAAGATTACACCAATCCATGCTACAATGTTTCCTTCAGAAAACACTAACTGTTTTATATACTACTTTCCATAGGGACCCAGGTCGGCACCTCAGCGACCATTCGCAGCAGCCGACGAGTCGGCTGCTATTATACCGGTTGTCTGCCCTACTCGACCGACCTCATTGCTGCCCCCCTCACTGACAGCAGTCCGCCCAGAGGTAACACATATCTTATCTGAATAAGTTTGCACCTCCCTTGGAATACTTATTGATATTGTAGGACTTGCAGGGGCCTTCGGACTTAGCTGTCCTATCGACTGTTCCGGTTCCAGCGGAGGCCCGAACCATATTCACTGAGGCCATTAACCATCCCCTGTCAGAATTGAGATCCGACTTATTGGACAAACTCATTCAGACGGTTGGTGGCCTTCTTTTTTACACTCCAACGGAATCGCCAGCCGTCCCCATTCTGCATCGGCTGATGGAAAGACTTACAGAGCTCAAGACTGAAGTGTTAGTCATTGGACTCCTGTCAGCCGAAACCCCCCAGCCCGACTTCGATCAAACAACGCTGGAGAATTCTTTGGCTAAGACCCGAGAATCTCTTCAGCAGACTACTGGAAGGCTGGGTGGTCTCCTTAGCACGAAAGCTCAAGTTGATGAAGCTATTCAGAAAAAGGAGGCAGAATTGCGGGAGCTAAAGAAGGAACAGTCTACCCTGGATAAGCAAATTACCAATGAGCAGCGTCTGCTTGAGAAATATACCAAGAATGAGGCTGAATTGGATCAAGAGCTGAAAACCCAAGCCCGATCCCAATTCATCATAAGATATCAGACGGCTGCCAATACCAGAAGGCTATCCAGGGATGAAATCAAATGGACCCATATAAAAACTGCCCTAGGAGCATTGTTGTAATATTTCCCCCTCTGTAACAACGTTTGACTTAGTAATCCATTTTTTCTTTCTTCTCTCAAAACAAGGATCACCTTTCAATTTCCAATTTTGTAGGAATCGAAACAAACTCCTTCTTTAAAAGAATATTGTTTCTCACATTTTAAGAAACACATTCCAAGGCATATTTTGAAAATCAAAACACTTGAAGTGTTAACAAACATGGCGAATGACCGACCTCATGTTCCATCAAGCAACTGGGAAGGTGTCCTTCAACCCTTTTTGTGGGTAATCACCCTATTGGAGGCCATGCAGAAGACTTGTTACATATACTCAAGCAACTAGACTTCAAATTCCGATTCTCCCAACGAGGAAGAAGAACCATTCATCGCGTCATCCGTCTGATGGAAAAAGTTATTGAGGGGTATGAACCTCTTCGTGACATCCTTAGCCGCATTCCTGATCTCCATCATCATATGGAAATGATAGAAAATCACGCAGCAACTATACTTCCAGATCTTGGTTGGGATAACATCTTTTCCAATCAACGAAAAGTCTTCTCAAGATTACGGACCATTGTTGATCGTGAACATCAAGCCATAACAGACATGCAAGCACGTACCCATCAAGACTTAGACGAAATGCAAAGCCAATGGGAAAGGTACCGACCAGATTTGGAAGATCTTATTGAAGAAGAACCAGAGCTAATATCCACTCACTGGGATGAAAAGTCTGATTCAGAGGCAGAAAATTTCTCACAAATACATGATGACTAACTGAAATGAACCTTTAAATAGGTTCGAACCCTACAAATGGGTTCTGAATAATATTTTGTTTCAGGCAGCTTTGTTATCTGAAAAGGCAGGATAATACCTCTTCAGATATTTAGCATTAATACAATCATGTACTCTTGTACCTTCATGATTTACAATAATGAACGCGCCATTTCCAATATCTTTTTGAACAATGTATGGTCCTTCCCAATTCGGTGACCATTTTCCCAATTGGTCCGTTTTCTTATATGTAGGAAGAATGGTCTTCCAGACTAAGTCTCCTTTTTGGAATGTCCTGTGAAGAACTTTCTTTCCGTAACTCCTTGCTCTGATTTCACTCTGTTTCACACTTCGATCTATTGCGTGGAGACGGTTAACATCCAAATCTTCTAACTGCTGCAACATAAGTTGTTGGTATTCCTCTGTCAGATCACTATCAGTAAATTCTGTTCGGCCAGATGATACTCGGATTTCGGCTGGCAAAACAGCATCTTGGCCAAACGTGAGTTGGTAAGGTGAGAACCCTGTGGCCGTATTTCTGGTATTCCTATGTGCCCACAAAGCCTGAGACAATAACAAATGCCACTTTCTTGGATTCCCTTCAACCATCTTCTTTATAATCCCAATAATAATCTTATTTGATGCTTCCGCTTGTCCATTGGCTTGGGGATAATAAGGTGACGAATGAT